GACGTTTAAAAATAAAACAACGTAATATTAACGTTTTCTCACCATCGGACTCAACAGACTAGGTGAGTTGCTTGATAAGCTTCCAGGATACATCGAGCATTTACACAGCCACTAACGAAACCAGTGCATCTTTCCGCAATCATCGTGGCTTTGTTTACATTTATTAAGCTGTTTACGAGCATGAAAACGTCACAATCTACGGTCATTATTGTTATGTAAACAACCTCGTAGTGCTTCGGGGCTCATAAACTGTTTAATATGTCACCCCTTTGCTTGTCGGCTTGCTTGGTTCCTTGCTTGGGTGCTTGCTTGGTTTCTTGCCTACATGCATGTAAGGTTGTCTGTTCGTTAGTCTGCTTGGTACCTTCCCTACCTGCTTGTGAGGCTACCTTCTGCTCCGTCAGTTTCTCCCTCGCCTCCCTGTCATGTGTGTGTGACATATTTCGCAACTACACATCATGTGACGTAGTAGAGCACAGCGTGCGCATGCGTGGCAGACATTTGTCTTGTATCTTACAGTAGTCAGCGAGGTGCTGTATGTCTGTCTGTGGCGAGGTGCTGTATGTTTGGGTACAGTGGCGAGGTGCTGTATGTCTGGATACAGTGAAGAGGTGCTGTATGTCTGGGTACAGTGACGAGGTACTGTATGTCTGGGTACAGTGAAGAGGTGCTGTATGTCTGGGTACAGTGACGAGGTGCTGTATGTCTGGGTACAGTGGCGAGGTGCTGTATGTCTGGGTACAGTGACGAGGTGCTGTATGTCTGGGTACAGTGACGAGGTGCTGTATGTCTGGGTACAGTGACGAGGTGCTGTATGTCTGGGTACAGTGACGAGGTGCTGTATGTCTGGGTACAGTGACGAGGTGCTGTATGTCTGGGTACAGTGACGAGGTGCTGTATGTCTAGGTACAGTGGCGAGGTGCTGTATGCCTGGGTACAGTGACGAGGTGCTGTATGTCTGGGTACAGTGGCGAGGTGCTGTATGTCTGGGTACAGTGAAGAGGTGCTGTAAATCTGGGTACAGTGGCGAGGTGCTGTATGTCTGGGTACAGTGGCGAGGTGCTGTATGTCTGGGTACAGTGACGAGGTCGGGTAGTTAGGCTTTGTAGCCCAAGGTTAGGATAAGGATACATTACTCAGACGAATGTCAAATTTGCACCGAGAAAGATTAAGCCTCCCAAGAGGTGGCACGGGCATGAGTAACCCGCAAGATCGGGTAGAAGATGTTGATATATTGAAGAGGGGGAGAGGGGTAGCGAAGAGGGGCAGTACCTACAGGTGATGAAGGGAGGTGGAAGAGAGGGTAAGATCCCTTCCCTCCCTCAGGAAAAGAGGGCGGCTGCCGAGGGAGGGAAGGGAGGAATGGGTAGGGGAAGGGGTTAGGGGGAGAGTGTAGGGAGGTGATCGTGAACCCCGGGAGCCACCGGTGACGACTAGGTGAAGGTGAAGTCCAGTGTCAGGGTCCACCTTGCATTCTCTTCCACTCACCCTAAACCCTTCCCACCCCATCTCTCTTTTTATCTTTTTTCTGCCTCTGTGTCTAGATGTTTATATATATATTATATTTTTATTGTCATTATAGCTAAAGATTACGTACATTGATTATATACACTGAATAGGCCTACTCAGTACAGATAATCATAATTAGTTATTATAGATATTTCATAATATTTTAATTCTAAATTATCCCATTTACCGATTATACAGTAATTAGTAATGATAGACTAAAGAATTTGGACAATTACTCCATATATAATGATAATTATCAAGGATTATTAGTGAATTATACAGTACGTTATACTGATTATATATGCTGACAATCACAGATTATATATCATTGATAATTAATATACCGGGTACTTAATAAATGTAATTATTAAACAATGATTTTATAATTATTTATCACAAGGTGAATCCAATGGATTTAAAACCGGTTTTCATCAACGCGTAGCCAACCGCTCGTCGGAATGGCCGTACCACCACCACTTGTTAACTGGGGGCTTTTAAAGGCTCTCACGCACAGGAAATGGTGCAGATAATTCTGCCTTCTTCCACGTAATTGAGCTGTTAAGTCGTTGAGGGAGTGTAATTACCTGAACGCTCGAAGTAAGGCAAGATTCGCCCAGTTAGGTTTCCAGATTTGGCCTTACCTTGAAGCAGCCTGATGGATAGGCTGCGGCCTAAAAGCCGATGAACCCAAGCAACCCACCTATCCTATCGAGGCTGATGGATAGAAAAACGTTAATATTACGGTGTTTTTACTAATGGGTTGACATATTTTAACAGATCAATCGTTTCCTTGAAGAAAAAACAGTCGCAATCCGCTGTTGTTGTTGTTGCTCTTGGCGGACACAAAGTCGCTGGAAGTGCATTTTTCCATATCACAGGTTTCCTTACACCTGATGACTCTGTTTACCTACAGTAGCACTAAATAGGTACCATTGAGCTAGTTGACTGTTGTGAGTTGACCCAAGGTAGGCGTTGTGAGGGTACAAAACCGTAATTCCAACAATATTAGTTGGTAGAAACTTGACGAAAGAGAGCTAATAAATGTCTCCATCAGTAAAAATTGTCTACATAAAAACTGGAAATTGAGAAATGGGTATACGCGGTAAACTCCCCACTCCTTCACCATTTCCATCACTGGTTGATGGGGTTCTGGGAGTTCTTCTACTCCCCAAGCCCGGCCCGAGGCCAGGCTTGACTTGTGAGAGTTTGGTCCACCAGGCTGTTGCTTGGAGCGGCCCGCAGGCCCACATACCCACCACAGCCCGGTTGGTCCGGCACTCCTTGGAGGAATAAATCTAGTTTCCTCTTGAAAATATCCACGGTTGCTGCTCTCTGATCCCTCATATAGTATAGGATAGAGGCACACCAGAATTTGTTAAGAACAAAAACAAAATGAGGAGGGTAGGTAAACACTCAAGATGAGTCAAATTATCTTCTGCAGTACTTTGTTGTCAAGGTCAACTCGTGTGTGTGTGTGTGTGAGGCATCGCCCTCACGGGCCACTTGCAAGACACCTGTACTCTTAACCCACACCTCTGGCGGTTACTCAAGTGTAATGTTGTCGTAAGAGATATTGGGCCTTAGTGCTAGCGTCACTGGAATGGCGTAAAACAATAGATAATAAGTCAATGTGCCAATGTTGACATGAGCGTAGTGTGCCCTTGAATATTGGCGGAAAAAAATAGTGCGCATATTGTGGGTGTGAGCGTACGAGGGTGGCAAATGCTTGTGGAAGGGGTAAGGGAAGGGGAAGAGGAAGGGGGGGGGGGTTAAGAAGGGGGGCGAGAGGCACCAAGACACCTCCACACACCGTGACGTAGCCCCCCCCCCTCTCTCCCCCATCACCCCCCAAACAGGTTCCGGCCACTCACCACAACAACTTTCTGCTATCCACTCCAGGAGTCATCGAATATGAACTTTTTTACCCTGTCAGTAATGCAGACGTTGTTTATTCGTGACGAAACACTTGGAATTCGTTGATTCTTAAAACTGGAACATATTTCCTGGGTGATGCCAGTTTTTTAGTTTAGTTCATTTATTATGCACCCCATACCTGGTGATGTCAGATAACAAGGAAAGAAATAAAACAGGTGCAAGGATAGGGAGTGATATCTTATGAAATAGAATTACCTTATTGATGAATTTGAAGAAGAAATACAAAATGATATAACTGAGATTTTCTTTAATAGCAGAAGGAAAGAAGTCGCCAGTCTCCGTGGTGTAGTGGTAAGACATTAGCAATAAAATACAAGGTTCCATTGTGTATTGACAGCTAAACCGGAACAAATGGCAAGAGAGTAGGTAGCTACAATGGAGAGATTTACAAATATTGAGGCAACAGGAAAGGCGGTAGTAAGGCAACTAGAAGTATTAAATAAAACGAAGATTGTAGGGCCAGATAACTTATCACTACTGATATTGAAAGAAGCTACACAGACTTTCAGTAAACCTCTAACATTAATCTTCATTAATTCACTTGCGAGAAAATTTGCCCAACACCTGGAAAACAACAAATGTGGTGCATTATAAAGAAAAAAGACAGGAAAGAACTAAATTTCTGACCAGTGTTAATAACAAGCATATCATGCAAGGTACCTGAAAGAAAATTAAGGCTAAGATTTATAGAGCAATAACACAGTTGATGGGAAGGGAATCATGTCTACCGAAGCTGCTTGCCTTCTGACAAACTGACAACAATGAACAGGAAACCTTAGAATTAAGGAACAAGCACGGCAGCAAGCCTGTTGGTCTATACTTGATATACGACCAGTAAGAAAATTTAATGAAGTAGACGAATAGGAAGTAAAAAAGACCGGTAAAGCGATAGTTTCGCTTCATGCAGGACGGCGTTCTGCATAATAGGATAGATTCAGGTCAGGAGTCTCGCATTAGACAACCAGTGGCTGGAAAGGCAGGGTCCAAGTGGTGACGTTTGATCTTACACACACACACACACGACAGAAGAGTTCGGAGGGGACATGATCACCACATAGAAGATTCTCAAGGGAACTGGTATGGTAGATAAAGATAGATTATTAAACACAAGGGACACACGCACTAGGAGACACAGGTGAAAATTGAGTGCCCAAATGCGACATAGAGATATTAGAAAGAATTTTGTTAGTGTCAGAATGGGTGACAAATGGAATGCTTTAGGAAGTGATGTAGTGGAGGCAGACTCCATATACAGTTTCAAATGTACATATGATAGAGCCCAGTAGGCTCAGGCACCTGTACACCAGTTGATTGACAGTTGAGAGGCGGAGCCAGAGCTCAACCCCCGCAAGCACAACTAGGCGAGTACACACACACACACACAAAAGCTAAATTGTCATCACAATCGACATGAGAATGGTCCAGGACGGACCGAAACGTCGTCGTCCCTTCACCTTCTAGTGTGTGGTCTGGTCAACATACTTCAGCCACGTTATTGTGACTCACCACCTGCATAGTGTGTATAGTTTTTACAGTGATTATTCCAACATACATACCTTAAACCTTCCTTCGATGATGGGTGGCCTGGCGTAAGGTATGCCAAGGAAGGTAGTGACATTGAGAACATGTCGCTGTTGGTGTATGGGCTTGTTGGCCGGGCGCTCGTAGGGACGCACCCCGGGCTTGTCGTAGAGGTACACGTAGAAGCCCTGAACCTTACCACTGTCCGTAGTCACGAACACCTCCGCTAGGGGCAAGTTGTGACCTGTGGTGGGGAAGAGGCAGAGATGGATTACAACTATGTCCTAGTTGATTTAAAATGTAAAGAAATAGTGGAATATGATGGAAAACAAACGGGTGAAAAGGAGGAAACTCCACCTCCATTTAAAATTGATCCAAATATCACAGTAACAAGGTTATCGCGAATAACCGAACTTAAAACAACAGCATATGAGTTTGATTGTGTTAATCGCAGAAGCAGCCTAATTATCTAAGAGTAGTAATAATTCAGTAGGCGAGGTAGTATTATGTCTATTACTGCTATTAATTATACAACTACTACCTTCCTCTATACAACTACAAATATTTATAATACTACAGTACTGTATTTATATTATTATTGCTGCTGCTACGGTTACTGCTAGCAGCAGCAGCAGTGAAGGCGGCGGCAGCTGCTAATATTTTAAGTAGAATATACATTCTGCCTCGTACTATCTTCCTCTCTTAATCCTCATAATTTTTGCATCATCAGCAAAGATTAAGATGAACGAGTCAAGTTCAAGTTCAAGTTCAAGTATGTTTATTGAGACAAGAAAAAAATACATCTCAAAGGGATAGAGTAGCTTAGGCTATTTCTACCCCCCTCTACTTCAAGTCCCTCAAGGGGCGCACAAATTCAGTGAGTACAGATACACAAATCACAATACAACATTTAACATTGCATATTAATATAGTAAGTGTTACAATCATTGGGGCAAAATTCTTGTAGTTCCTAAGTATTCTGTCTATCATATCATTATCACTCATCCAAACAATTTGAAGTGGTACACTACTTATTTCCTTATTTCTATGGTTATCCATAATTTGACACTTTAATACATAATGGTCTTCCAAGTTCAAGTAGGTTTATTGAGACAAGTTAAAAAAAAAAAAAAAATCAAAGATTAGCTTAGGCTATTTCTACCCCTTCCCATACTTCAAGTCCCTCAAGGGGCGCACAAATTCAGTGAGTACAAATACAAGAATCCCATGTAACATATCAGGTTAATATAGTACTATCTAAGAGTATAATAGTGTACATCCACCGCACTAGATTTTAACCCATTAACGCTCCAAGATAATATTCTCACTCTACTTTCATCCATGATTTAATAAAACTACCTTTGCCCTGTCTGTCACATTCCATGAGATACGAGATTTTCTCAGACAGACTCTCCCAACACTGTAACATTTCTGCTTTCTCCTCATTTGCACAACAGCTACTAGCATCAAAGGTGATCTTATTCATATCTAATTTCTTTCTTATTTCTCTATACCGTTTTACTTTAACCTTTGTTTCGACATTTGTCACTACAGAAGGTTGAACGCTAACACTACTAGAAAGTTCATTTTCCTGACTATCCTCTATCATCAATACGTCATGTTCTTCCTTACTTTCTTCAACGCACATTTCACGTCCTGTTTCACTTTCCACTTCACGTCCTATTTCACTTTCCATTTCACGTCCTGTTTGACTTTCCATTTCACGTCCTGTTTCACTTTCCATTTCACGTCCTGTTTCACTTTCCATTTCACGTCCTGTTTGGCTTTTCATTTCACGTCCTGTTTGGCTTTCCATTTCACGTCCTGTTTGGCTTTCCATTTCACGTCCTGTTTGGCTTTCCATTTCACGTCCTGTTTCACTTTCCATTTCACGTCCTGTTTCACTTTCCATTTCACGTCCTGTTTCACTTTCCACTTCACGTCCTGTTTCACCACCATCTTCACCCCGTCTACCCCCCATAGTTAATTTTTCTAATGCCTCAATCCTCTTTTCTAGTTTTTTTAGATATTCCAATATTTGAGTACCAACCTCAGAGTTCACTATATTGACCTGAACCTTGTTTCCACAAGGTTTAATTTTTTCAGCTGCATTTCCTACTTTCCCTAGGCTCGCCTTAATTGTCTCTGTTCCTTTCTCCCACACATTGTTCATAGGCGCTGTCATTGGCTTCCAACTGTTTCCTCCATGTTCCTGCTGCACAATCTTTCCTTCCTTCGAAGATACATCTATCCTGCTTGTAGCACCCGTCCTCGAGTCTCTCAGATGAGGCTTCATGCGACATAGATAGGAACCAGCATTGTGGCTTCCTCGACAATTGCAACAAGATGGGACGATTTTTTCACCGTTTTTAATCTTGACTCTACACTCTCGAGAGTCGTGTTTCTTACCACAGTACCGACACCTGGAGTCAAACTGGCATTTCCAAGCCATATGTCCCCAACGAGAACACTTCATGCATAATATGGGCTCCTCAATGTATTTTACAACTTTCCTGTAGCCTAGTCCTTGCACAAAAATTCTTTCTGGAGCCTCACCCTTTACCAAGGCAACAACCTGGCTTTGTTTTTCACCACGAACACTGTTCCTCTTTGCCCAAACAACACTATCATTGTTGAGCAATAGATAATCAGGATCCAAATAAGTTGGTTACTTAAACACTATGACCTTGGTGTACATCATACCTTTTTCCGGAGTAACCATCACAATATTCTCAAACCCATCCTTCGTTAGGTGTTCCACGGCCTCCTCTGTCCCAACTGTTATATAGGGCCGGTGAAGACCCTCCTTGAATAGTGGTTCATATTCAAAAAACTCCTTAGCCAAACGAACCGTCCACTCCAGCTTTTGATGGAAATTCAGTTGACATGCTGTAGGGAACAACAGCCTCTTCCTTCCATTAGTCTGCATCTCCCGCGTCCTGCTGAGCATGTCTTCATTTTTTGGTCTCTTTGTTATTTCCTCCTCACTGTCTTCGTCTCGCTGTCTTTGAATATTTCTCCGTTTATATCTGTTTACTACTGCTTGATACGGCCTAGTATCATCCTGTCTGCCATCCCCACTGTCACACTCTCCAGGCCCAGTACAGGATCTTCCATCACCTAGGCAGACCGCCTCAGCCATTTCCTCGATACACAAAGGCACTGTATCACTGCAACAGTCGAGAACAAATTCACAACATCTAGCTGCAGCAGCCACGTGCAAACACGAAGATGCGGAGCAACACGTCCTCCTCGCATCATGCAGCAGACCGCACTGATGAACGAGTCTATTCCCTCTGGGAGATCATTTACATATATTAGAAACGGTATAGGTCCACTAACCTAGACTAGCTGTTAAGAGTTCGAATACATGCCTTGCAGTTACAGTACAAAGTAAGAAGTGTATTTTATTGACCTTGATTTGCCGGTTGATGTGCGGAAAGCAAGGTAATAACGTTATCTCGAACGCGCATGAATTGTTGTGTTGATTTAGGGGCGACGACGATCGTGGGATCGGATGCGCCCCGGCTGCCCGATACCGGGAAATAGCGGAGGGATGGGGTCCCTATAGTCTCTTCAGGCCATAGACCCTACAAACTTCTTAGGCCACAAATTTTACAGTCTCTTCAGGCCACGGACATGACAGATGAAGCGGAAGGTATGGCGAAGGATGTCATGACGGACGTCTTCGTCTCTGAACGTGCATGAATGCAGGAGTGTTTGGCAGGGGTATGGGAGGGAAGTACAAGGGAGGGGGGAAGGTGAGGGAGGCAGGGGGAATCAGTTTGGTGCAGCACGTTTCCTGACGTCATGTCAAAGCGGTCGATTGGGTCTCGTGGCGACCACTTTGTGTTGTGTCAAGGGAACACGTCTTCCTCACCACCTGCTATCTTGCGGTTGATTGACAAGGACTGCCTTTGCCACAAATGGAAGATAACGTCAGTTATTGCCTTCATTTGTCGAGTTTCTCCGCGAAGTAGAGCGGTGGTGGTTGCTGTCTGACCGGTGCTAGCCACTGCCTGCTACCTAATACCCCTCCGTACCTAATACCAGCATATACCTTGCACAAAACATTATTGACCCAATAACCTTAGATATGTATGGTATACAGTATATTTTTGTCATGCGATGACACCATACTATATTTTTCATCTACAGATTACCAGAGCCATATGAAGGGAATGCACCTCCAACTGATACTGAACTCTGCGCACACCGTCAAAAATCTATGGTATTTGAAAAAGCGTATAATTCACTCGTGACTAGCTGAGAACGGGATGTGATACACAATCCACCCGGAAGGTTACCCTGGGTTCACACGCATATTTGTCAATAAGGAGTATAATTTAATAAGTCGTCAATTGAGCTATCATTTAATCTGTTCTTAGAATGCCATTAGGCGTTCTATCGCGTTATTCACGCAAAATTCACTGAAAATGTGAACGATAGCTAAGATTCCAATTGTCAGGACAACATATTTAGGTCGTGATGCTCTGCCAACTACTTTTTCAGAACTACGAGATACGGATTACGTGGGAGGTAACGTTAATCGAACCTCACATAGCTGGAAGAGAGAAGAGTTAATCGGAGATTAACACATACAGTACAAAAATTCTCAGGGGAATTGATAGGGTCGATAAAGACATTATTGAACATGGGTGGTGCTCGCACAAGAGGACAAGATAAATTATACAAGAATTATCATATAATTAGCTTGGAACCGAAATATTTAGTCAATATTTCTTGTGTGTTTTCTAATAGGTTATTAAACTAGGCAAGCCTATCCACTTTGCCTATGAAGCATATATGTGGTGAATATGTGTGAATAAGTGATAGTAAGGAGGGTGAAGATAGTGAAGATGATGGGGGGGGGGTGATAACTATAGTCAGCGTGGTAAATAATAGTGAAAGGCAGGAAGGCGCTGCCGGCAACACAAATTGCTGGTGAGGGTGGCGATGATGTAAGGACACACGTTGAGGAAGTCTGGCCACAGAGCAGGATATTCACCTGTTTGTGATCTGTCGGCTGGACAGTGACTCCTGCCCAGCACACACACACACACACACACACACGCACACACACACACACACACGCACGCACACACACACACACACACACCAAAGCTCAACCCCCGCAAGCACAAATAGGTGAGTACACACTGCTGACTCCATACACTGTGGTGGAGGCTGACTCCATACACAGTTTTAAATGTAGAAATGATAGAGCCCAGTAGACTCAGGAAT